GGGTGATGGAAATATGGTAGAAATACAAGGCATGGGGGGTCGGAGGAAGACATGGACATAGAGACTTTAGAAGGGCTGGAGATGTGCATAGTTTTCCAACCTGTATTCAGCAGCTAAGAGAGCTTCAGGTGGAGTTTCTCTTCACCCTAACTTTCTTCTAGAGGGAGGCAGTTGTACCCACAGTGTCTGGTGCCATGTGCTGACTGGATGACATATGCAGTTGTCCTTTCTCTGGAAGATTTCTTGGCCTTGATGAGCACTGTGTCTGAGGAGGCTTGAGGGAGAGGTTCCCATTTAGGGGCCTCTTTGCTGCTGCTGCCTTCCTTAGAACGAGCCACTTGTGGGTTTGTCTCCTCCAAAAAGCATACTGCTGTATGTCAAGCTGAATTGCACATCTGACCTTAGCAATCATCTGTGAGATGCGTCAGCTGGTCCTTCTGCAGACTGATTCACCCTTGATTTTGCCCTGCACTTTCCCAACTGGACATTGAGGGAAGGGTGGTGTACTAATGCACCACAGCTGTCCTGTGTGCTGTCTTGTTGCATCTCTAGCACCCTTTGCTGTCTTTCTCCCTCACATTTCCTTTGGCTTCGTGGGCTCATGTCTGAGGGTCAGCTAGAGATAGTAGCTTTGGGACTACCATGAATGACTGCTGCTCACTTGTCTGTCCTAGTCAAGATCAGGAGGATTTTGAGCTGCCGTGGATGGAGGGAGGCTGAGGAGAAAACCTAGCCTGCTGTAGACAAGGACCCTCTCAGACCAGCTCATCGCCTTGGTATTTCACAGGAGCCCGTGACCTGGGGGGCTGTGGAGAATGGGTTGCTGCTTGGAAGTTTTGTCAGGGCAGTTTCCAACTGGGAAGAACTGGAGTGTTTTGCCACTCACCAGGCTTGTACTGGTAGTGCTGAAGTCGGTGACCTTTAGGATTTCACCTTCAGTGCTTTCAAAAGAGGGGTTTGCTGTCCTGTGGTCTGGGAAGGCAGCGTCACAGATTCCAAGCTGTACACCACAGTGACAAGCTTCTTTCTTGTGCCATCTTTCTTGGGTTCCCAGTAAGACGCCCAGTATGCGGTGTACAGTCTTGTGGAGCATACGTGACAGGCACTCTGCCAGTGTACTCTTTTTTTTTTTTTTGTTTGGTCTGTGACTCTGCTGGCAGAGAGCATATGACACCTGAGCTGCTTTTGCGAATGGTGGTTAGGAGCTTGACTCTGTGAGGCTCAGGTAAGTGCCAGGCTGGGGGTCCATTTTTGGCACAGGTGCTGGCTAATACAGAATTTCCATTTCTGGACTCTCCTGTCATGTTGCAGTGGCCTGATGTGGCAATGCAGAAAACAAGATGTGAGGCAGCTTCTCAGTACCAGCAACAATATCTGCAGGACGGTCTGGGTTTATGACTGACCTGGTTCCCTGTAAGGTCCCTTCAGCTCAACGGGACTCTGTGGATTCAGTGAACGGCTTGGCATGTGCTGTAGACACCAGCACTGTTTTGCTGGGCATGGAGAACTATGACGTTCTTTGATGTCTCTGATCCCAGAAGATAATAGTCATGCCCACATTACCCTCGGCATCTTTTCCCTGAGAGGGCTTTCAGTATGCTGCCTTCGTAAAACAGACAGCAATTTTTCAGTCTGCTAGCTTCGCCCGTCAGTAACATTCTCCACCAGGGAATGCAGCATTAGGCTTGTCCCTCTAACTTCTCTGAAAACATTTTCATTTCAGATAGCTGTAGTGTTTTTACTGGGTCATCATTAACAATGCAGGTTTACAATAGGAAATGAAGACTTTCTAATAACAATTGGATTCTGCTGCCTGATCAAAGAATTTCCTAATAACTAATCCGTGTGGCATTAAAAGAAGCCCCTTTTGGGGGGATTACTACATATGCAGGTATGTGGTGAAGCATGAGGCTGGTAACGGGCTGAGTTTACCAGCCAAGGAATGTGATAATCCTCCATAAAGAAGTAACATTGCCTATTTTATTAGCAATAGGAAATGGATATTCCATTTGTGACTGGGAAGGTCATACCTGTCTCTGGGTATTAATGTGGCTGTATCACCAGCAGCCAGTGGGAACGCTTCATGTCTGTGCAGAACGTTAAAGCTGCCTCGCACTGTCAGATGTTTGACTGGGTTTTAAGGATGCTTCTATCCACTAGGGCTATCAGAGAATATTGCCTTGCTCTCTGAAGACAAGTGCCTTTCAAACGCCATTGAATGTTTCTGCTCTCGTTAAAAGTTAAGAAGCGTTTGATCTGAAGTGCTGTTTTTTTTGGTTTTTGTTTCATTTTTTTTTTTCCCTCTGGCTTGCCTGTGCCTGGGAGGAGTTTCATGGCCTGGTGAACAGCAGTGGCCGCTGATCGAACGCTCCCCCTCCCTCTGTCACACCCAGGGTAGGGCCTCATCTTTCTTCCTACGTGACTCCATGGCATACCTCTCAGCTTCCAACCCTCTTCCTGTGGGCTGGTGTGTTCTCTTGCCTTGTAGGCCTGGTGGTGGGCCCATTCTGCTACTGGCTCTTTCCCAAAGGTCAGCATCATTTTTAAAAATTTTTTTGGACCAAAGATACCAACATTGACCGTGGTCTCCATTCACTCAGTGTTTTCTGTTGTGATGCTGTATGCTATTTTGCTAATGTGTCCTTCCTCTGTACAAGGCACTTGTATCCCAGACCTGGTCCCAGGAGGCTGAGAGGTATGTCTTCAGCTTGGGTCTGTTGCCTAGGGTTGACTGTAAGCAGATAGAGAGTGGTAAATGAATGCTAAGCACATCCACGTGATGGACACTGAGAGGGGTGCCTGGAGCTTGGCATACGTGCCTTTGCTCTTGCAAGTGGGCTGGAGCAGAATAAATTAGTCTGTCAATAAAAGCTTGTTCAGGAAGGACACACAGTAGCTACTGTATTTAGAAATAATAATGCTGTGGCTAATGAGATGAAACCACCTGCTACTTCTGGTAGTGGCAACCGACCATGTGCAGAGAAAGTAGCCAAGGTGAGCTCAGGGCTGTTGCAAGCCTCGCAGCTCAGATTGTTTTTCCCCTCCAGTGCCCGCTTGCCTGATGACAGGCCCTTTCCTTAAAAAGGGCTAGCAGGAGGCCTGGCGATGAGCATTGTGTTTGGTCGTAGCCAAGTGGGATTGCTGCATTGCCAAGTGCCGGAGCAGGGGAACCCGCTGGAAGGAGTTGTTGCATTGCCCAGTTCCCACCCAGTGGTGGTCTGTAGCTGCTCTGACACAGCCGACCTCCGAGGGGCCACTGTGGAGCCCAAAACCTCCCTCCACAGCTTTGGGCAAGCAGTGTTCTCGTAGTTTGCTCTGAAGTCATGAGTGAGAATAATATCTATCTTTCCTCACAGATTTGGCTTTTTGTGAGGATCAACGGTTACAAAGTGTTACACAGGCGCCTAGTAGTGTTGTTATTGTTAGATCAGATTGAAGTTACCTTCCAGAGTAGGAAACCAGCTCACTTCATGAAATACCAGTCTCAGAAGGCAGTAAATGTGCCAAGTGTATAGGAAAACAGTGGCGGAGTTGATTTAGGTCTCAACTGTATTGGGTTACCTATGCTGAGCAGGGAAAGTAGTGATGAGCAGAGGACCTGGAGCACTCTGATAAAGGTGAAAGGAGGTGAAAAGTAGAAACCTGTCTGAAAAAGAGCTAACTAAGAGTGTGCTGTCCTCCTGAGGTAGATGGCACGAGTGAGAGTACAGTATGGGATGGAAAGCCAAAACCATTGTTGCAAATTAACTGGAATCCAGTTAATGAATCCTGAATCATGTTTCCAAATGGCAACACAGCCTACTTTGCTGTCAAGTGCAAAGGTGAGCCCCAGTCTTCTGCAGATGGTCTCCAGCATGGCTTTTGCTGTCACGTCATAGCAGAGTAACTTGTTTACCTCTCTAAAGCGTGTGTTTTACGTCCTTTGCTCCTCGAGCTCTCCAGCCCGCCTCCTGGAGGTGTTCCAGCATTCACTGTGCTGTGATGTTGCAGCTACTGCGCAGCTCTTAGCAGCAGACAGTGATAGCTCAAGGGTTTAAGCAGGATTTTACAGTCCTGCTGAGCACCTTGCTTCTGAAGCTGCTGCCTTTGCTCTTCAATACATCTCCTCTGATTTGGTGTGATATGTGCTGGGGCATCCCTAGGTGTTTGGTTTGTGCAGCTTACTGCCCTGTCCCTGTTACGGGAAGAGCTGCCAAACCTATCCTCTCAAAATAATTGTAATCTCATTTATTTCCATTTGAGTTTAAAAAACCACACCACCTTTATATTAATGCATAAATATGCTTTGCCTATTGCTGCTGCTGACAGGCTAGCAGTAGGCATTGACACAGGTTTCTGTAACCTGCCCCGTCTTCAATTGCTGCCATGTGCTGCAAGACTAAACAAATGAAGGTTGTGGACCAGCAGTCCTTCCTTCGTCAGCAGCCCCTGCAACTCACCTGGCTATACTTGTGTGAGTAAAAGCTGCCGAAGACTCTGCTATTTAAACTTGAGGGAAGCGTCCTTTTCAGATTAGATATTCTTCTAAAGTAGGAGAGATCAGAGAGCTAAACTTGTTGACAGCGTGACAAAAAGAGCCTAAATACAAGGGACAGAGGCAGGAGAAAGTTGCACTGGTGATATATTTGTGCTCCAAGCAGAATCCCTGAGGACAAATGTTTGGGAAGGAAGAGATCTTGCAAGTTGTTTAAACACCAGAATCTATCAGGGAGGTTTCCAGAGTACCGTATGCTTTGCTTGCAGAAGATGACACTTTTTTCTTCCCGATGAATGGGGATGAACCAGGATCTCCCTGTGTTCCAAGTGTTCTGGAGCAGCAGGCTGATTTATATGAAAAGTCTCTAGTTAGAAAGCAGATCTGCTTAGGAGGTTTAATGAGCATTGACTTGAATGGCATACTGGGGTGGCAACACTGGTAGCCATGGTGGGTGGAATGGGGGGGTGCTGTGATCTGAAGGAATGCACACCTTTAACCTCTCTTTTTTTCCCCTCTTTTCCAGGGATAATTCAAGCTTTCGAAACACAAAAATCACATTGTGAGAACAAGAGTGGGCACCAAGCTCCTCTCTCCGTGTTGAAAGCACTGAGAGGTCTCCACCAGTGCCCTCCGACATCTGAAGGGACTCATGGGCCACTCTCGCACTCCTCCTTGGAGGAAGGATCCACCTGAAGCCCTCCAGCAGTGGTGACAATAGAGGCTGTTTTTGTCATACACAAACTTTTTTTTAGCAGTGGACAGGAGGCCAACCTTTCAATTAGCAGTGTGCCCTTGGGGCCGCATCTTGCAGCACTTTCCTCTTTCTCTACACGGCATGCAGGATCTCTGGGATTCTGCCTCGACGTCAGAGCCTTTTGCTGAGGGACACCAGTATTATAAATCTCTCTGCGGCTGGGAGGAGCTTCCCAGTTGAGAGTCAGCCCTGTGGTTTTCAAATGCCCCCTTTCAGCTCTGCCAATAAATTATTTGGTCTCTTTGTTTCTTTCAGTCTCTCTTTTTTTGCCTCTGTCTAAAAATCAGCAGGATGGTATTTCTCTAGGCGGTGGTAAGGCACCAGGCCTGCTTCTGCCACCTCCATAAAGCACCTTCCCCTGAGCTGCCCACCTACATGAAGCAGGAAAGCACCGCAAGTGCCAGCGGTGGCCAAACTTCACCATATTTGTGGAGTTACATGGGCAGAGGACCAAGAGGTGTAACATCTTGCTTAAAAATTAGATGCCTGCTTTGTCTTTGCCCCTTCTTTGTGCTCCCTGGTTAGCAGTGCCTTACACCCAGCCCTGTTTGTTGGGGAGAGGGATGCAAGCTTCCCTTAAACTAGGACAAAGAGATGTTTGTTGTCGCTTAGTTGCCTTGACTCCGACTGTCTCGGTGGAGAGCCAGCAGTGCTACCCTGTGTTGGATCCAAGGAAAGGCTGAATGCTGAGCCATGTGTGCTTCTGGGGTGCACTGAGCTTTGCAAGTCTCTGGCCATCTGGGAAACTGGACCCCCAGTGGGTGCAGCAGAAGAGGGTGATGGCCCCGGCTGCCGCGTATAGCTGCATGAAAACCGTGACCAGAAGAGGGGCTGCGAGTGACCCTCCTGTCATCCGGGATGAGGCTAGACTGATGTGTTGTTGCCTGGAAAGCCGGCATGGCTGCAATTCGGATACCACGGAAACAATAGGAGCTAATTATTTCCTCTGATTCTGCTTGACTACAACGCTAATTGTACTCATTAACAGCTCTAGCCTTTTCCCCTTTTCCTTGGGGAATCACACAATTGCCTTTCATTTTTAATAGAGCCTTTGCATTGGGCCCGGGGGACAGGCTGCAGGCAGAGATGGGCCACATCTCCTGGCCTGTGAGCTCTCCGCAGTCCCCTGGGAGAAGGGGCTGCTTGGGCCAATTTGGTCGTGACTGCAGAACTAGTGGCCCATGTCTGGGACAATTACCGGCCTTGAAGATGGGGAGACCTTCAGCCTCATGACTCCAATTGCAAATTCCTCATGTTATTATTGAAGTCTAGACTGAAAGCAGCCAAGACTGACAGAGAAAACAGTTTAAAATATTCGGTGTTCTGAAGGGTTTATTTTCTGCATGGAGCATGTCAGTCCTAGGCTGTCTCTAGAAACGTTCAGCGTGCCGACAGGGTGGGCTGACTGCTCCCCGTGGTCAGGCAGTTTGTGCCTGCTGGCACCTGGCTGGGCAGGGAGCAGGGCAGTTCCCCAGGCTGCGGTGGCATCCTTCGCTGTGTTTCTCAAGACCCCATGGTCCTATTCTTGCTCTTGGCACTTGTTTGTCACCAGGTCTCAACCAAATGCTCTTTTCCAGGCGCAGTTTGTTTTCCCTGCTGCGATCAGGTACTACTACGGCTGCTACTTAAAATTCCTTTTAAATACAACTCTCCCCTGCTGCTCTCCGGTATTTGTTAGGGGGGATTTAGTTGTAATTACATTTTGGCAATCTAAGCAAAAATAGCCTTGCAAGGCAAGGCTGAAATACTAGCTGCAGGCTCCTTTTATCCACAGCGCATTTAGCTTCTTGCAGATGACATCACTTACGGCTTTAGTCCTGTTGTTGTGCCCAGCTGCACGTCGTGTCCACCTCTGCTATTTCATGTACTCGCCCACTTCTCGCCTCTGATGCCCCACGTCTAAGCTGGTGCTGATGAGTGCAGGCTTGCTATTAAATCTGAAAATGCTGCAGTCCTGCTGTGTTCGCCCTTAAATACGCTTTGCGAGTGAGCTGTGGAAGAGCCCTTCCCTGGGGAGCTGTTCCTCTCCTCCCGCTGCCACCATGGTTGAGATTTGGAGGAACTCAGCACTGGTTCCTCTTGCTCAGACTTGAAGGGAGCGAGCTGGCTGAGGCGTGGAGTTGGTCCTATTTAAGGCTACAACTTCTCCTGAGGTCAGAAGCAAAGCAGTGTTCGATCAGTGCCAAGCACTGGGTTTGGTGCCCCCCTTGGCTTGGAGAGGGGTGGAGCCAAAATGGTTTTTTAGCAGGGCTTTTGGGTTGTGGTCTGCAGTGTCCCGATAATAAGAGTGGTGAAAAGATAGCTGTTGGGTTGTCTGGGGGGGGAAGGAGCCTCTGTCATGCTCAGGAAAAAGGTTTCAGATCCTCTTCATTCAGGAAGCAAGCCTGGGGCTGTGGGAGCCCCAAATCTGCGGTGAGTCATGACCTTCCCTGCTTTCCTCATCCTGAAGGCTTTGTCCATCCTTAAACTTGTTCAGATCCCTCTGGGGGAACTGGCAGGGCTTTGAACCCCTTCGAGCGCTGCAGTCCAGCCCCGGGGATTTTCTTTTCCCGGGGGATGCTGGGCTGTTGTTGCAGGCTCGTGGGCCCTGGGTGTCTCTGGCTGTGGCTGGTCAAGCAGAGGCTGATGGCTGGGCTGGGCTTGGCTGGGGGGCTCGGGGAGCGGTGGGGGGGTTCCGCTGGATGTTTCTGAGCTGGAGCTAAGCAGGAAATGTGCTTCCCAGCCCCCAGAAAGAAAGGAGTCCCCAGTTTTGGAGGGGAGCACTTGTGGGATGCTTGGAGGATGATGTTGCCCTGTCTTAGCGCTTCTTGATGGGATGTGGGCGTGTGGGGCTGATACTGGGCTGGGGCTTTTCCTCTCTCACTGTACCCCACCAGCTCCGGACAGGGTGACCTGCAAGGTGTTCCCCCACCAGTTCCTGCAAGTCACATCTGCTGCCTGAGGCCTGTAGCATCCCAGCTGCTGCTTCTGGTTTTGGCCTTGTCTCTGGTGTGGGGATAAACCCCACGGACGTCCAGAGGGCAAGTAAAATCACTGCTCGGGGATGGTGGAGAGTGTGGTCTCGGTCACGTGCTCCTGGCAGGCTGGAAGAGCTCATCCCTGACTGAGCTCACATGGAAGAAGCAGGAGCTCTGCGGGGCGGGGTGAGGTGGGTGACAGTCCCTGGCCCTGTTCAGAAGCCCCTTGCCCTGGGACAGGCAGCAGGGCGAGGGGGAGCCGGGAATAGCAACAGGCAAAGACAGACCGAAGCTCATTACTTTTGCTCCTTCTGGGGGAGGGAGAATGCCCAGGGCTGAGGACGTGTCTGGTGCTGTGGTTTGGGCAGCTGACAGCAGCTCCTGGCTCTCACAGGGCTGGAGACACCTGGCCAAGGCAGCCTGTCCTTGCAGCCGCTGTGGTGCTGGGGTGGGGACCTCACTGTGGGGTGGCTGGGGGTGACAGGAGTGCTGTGCAGTGCCGTCACTCAGCAGCAAGAAGGCTGTGCCCAGGAGGAGTTACAGTGCCTCAGGACATGGTCAGCTCACCCAGATCATGGTCACAGGGCTGCCCCCCCGTGGGAGGTGACCCAGGTAGGCGGACAGGGAGGCAGGACGCAGCCTTTGCCAGGGCACTGTGGGCTTGGCGAGCTCCTCTGTGCGCCCCTGCCCAGGTCAGTGGGCACCGTCCCTGCCTGCTTCGAGGTGCCAGCCTGGAGCACCAGATCTGCCTGGTCTCGGTGCTGAGGGCATCATGCACTTTCTAGGGATGGGGCAGGAAAAGCCACCTTGCAGAGAGCACGGGCAGGCGGGCAGAGTTGGAGGGTGGCTACTGGCCATGACCAGGCTGCAGGCATTGAAGAGGTGACATCTCAGCTGCTGGGTGTTTGCCTCCCTCCTCCATCTGTGCCCGCAGTGCCCTCACCTCTAGCAGGCAGTGCCAGGAGCCAGTGCTGGGCAGTAACCAGCTGGTTTTCCCTCAACAGCAGCAGAGGCAGCCGGCGCTGGGACGGTGATGGAGACACAGCACATCCTGGAGCCAGGCGCAGGTGGTGTGAGCTGGACCATGGAGGAGCAGACCATGCCGTTCCTAGGCTGACCTCCCACATCTCCTCTGCCAGCAGGGACAAAGCTGCAGGGGCCTCAGAGGTCAGTGAGGGGCACGGGGGGATGCGGTGGCGATGGGATGGGGGAAGGGGACTGTGCTTGACAGAGATGATCACGTGGGAGAGGGAGTCCTGTAGTGATGCTCATAGAAGGGGGGGTGCCAAGGGGCACCCGTTCCTGAGGGGGTTTGGGTGCCTGGTGGTCCAGAGTCTTCCCACCCCAAGCTGCTTGCCAGGGAGCAGGGACAACAGTTCAGCTGCCCTCAAGAGGCATGGCCAGGGCATAAATGGAGGGAGGAATTATCTGCTCCCGATCCCTTCCGTGGCTCCATTGCTGCCCTGGGAGTGGGGGGCTGTATCCGTGATTCCTGCCCTGTTACCACCACTGCCATGGTGGGGGATGCCAGGGGCCCCATTTGCCCTGGGCTTGAAACTGTTAATTTACAATGGGGTAAATCTGCCAGCGCTGGTGCATGGCCAGCCAGATGCCCGACTCTGCTCCAGTTCACCTTTGTCTTGT